GCAGTTCAAGACCAGTTGGCCAACATAGTGAAACCCTGTCTCTACTAAACATACAAAAATTAGCCAAGCATGATGGCACGTGCCTGTAATCCAAGCTACTTAGGAGGCTGAGGCAGGAGAATCTCTTGAGTCCGGGAGGCGGAGGTTGCAGTGAACAAACATAGAGCCAGTGCACTGCAGCCTGGGCTACAAAGTGAAATTCTGTTTCAAAAAATAAATAAAACATGCAGATTATAATTTGGCAAGTCTAGGTTGAAGCCCAGAACTTTCGGATAAATTCAATGGCACTTAACTACTTGCAGGTCATGGATTAATTTGCTAATCTAATAAAAGCTACAGACCCTCTCTCCAGAAAAAATGCACAAATACATAAATGTAGAATACAAATCCTGATGGTTCTGGGAGTCTATCAAAGGGCTGCAGACAAGAGCCCTGGTTTGGATAAAATGAGGTGCTCACTGTTTCCCCCACCTGGCCAGCATTTCCTAGCAGAAGACAAATGTTAAGATTGTTCTAACAGAGCTATGCACCCACAGCAGCAGCAGCATCACCTACCTGACCCTGTTAGCAACGCAGAACCTCAGGCCCACCCCAAACCTACAAAGTCAGAATCTCTACTTTGCAAGATCCCAAGGAGATGGGTAAGCACGTTACAATATGCAACCTCTGTAAGTTTGCCCAAAATGTGCCCCCACCTCCACTCAACGGTCACCCGAGGTTCAAAAATCTGCCCAACCCTTGAGCTCATCTTAAATGTACCACCACGAGCCTTCCCTGGGCCTCTGTGCTCAGACACTCACAGTGCTGTATCTCTCTGTTAATGCAATTATTCTATTCCCTCAGATGACCCCAGCACAGGTGCTAAAGAAGTCAACAAAATGCTATTGTCAAAACAGTGTTTCTGTCTCCACTCCATCTGATCTCTGTTTACCTGAGACCTGCCTGTCCTCCTCTCCCAGTTCGGCACCTTGACCCTCTCATCACACTGCTCAGGCCACCTTGCACAACGCAAGCCCCAAATGAGGAAAGCATTTTCTCCTCCAGTGTGTAACACAAAGGTGCTGCAGAGTGGTTCACACTGCCCTTAGCCTAAGAATTTACTTAGCTCCTCCCACTAGGGCTCAGATCCTAATCTGCGAGGGCTGGCTCACACAACAATCTAGGGAACAAGCTTCTTGCTTCCTTGGGCATCTCTACTCCTCACCACCTTCACCTCCACCCATCAACTCTGACCACTCTACTTTCTCTTAATGCTCTGCCCATCGCCACCCCATTCCCATGCTCAGGAATATTCTTGGCTACTTCATGCAATTAGACCTGGGGCAGATCCAATCCAGAATGTAAGAAATCTTAGATCCTAGAAGCCTGGGGTAAGCACTGATCAGATTTATTCCTAAATTCACTCCTACTTTCCATGGTGCTTACTTTAGCATCTCTTCTGAAAAGGAGGCATCATGTCAGATTCACTTCTCCCTCCCTGCACAATCCTCTACCTGGTGCTCTGCACAGAGTATGTGCTAATTGTATGAACACTATAATAAAGAGACAGTGCGGTAGATGACAAAGGGCACTACACTGAGAGCCAAGAAATAAGCAAACCAGCACAAACATAGCCATTCATCTTCTATTTCACCTTGGGTCTGTCACTACCCTGTTCATGGCCTCAGTCTCCCCATCAGAGAAATGGGTAGATGGTCTCTAAGATCCCGCTCATTTTCTGACATTTCATGAAAAAAATAAAGAAGGATTTTCGCCCTTGGAAGGAAAGGGATTGCAGAGTAGAGGCCCTGGGAAAATGGGCTCTATTCTACCTGGAGGAGAGGCCTTGACGGGGGCTGTCTAGAAAGGACGTAGTGGGTGCAGAGCAACTGCATCTCTCTTAAAGGCAGAGCTGAGGGAGCACCAGCAAGGGAGCCTGCACTAGGCAGGGAGGGGCAAGTGAACTGCAAAAGTGAGTGGGGACCCAGGCAGTGGCTTCAGCTTTTTCTAGAAAGCTCACTCTTACTTCATCTTTTTTTTCACCCCTGACACTGAGTGGGAGTTTGTAGCAATGACCAAGGTACATGCGGAGGATCCTGGTGGTGAGGTCAGACCCCAGGAGGAATGAAGAAAGCGTTATTCACCAAAAGGAACTCTTCCATTCCTTATCTACGAGTTGATGGGGAGGAAGCCGCAGGGGAACTGGAAATTCTAGACAGCATCACAGCATTGGCCCTCACTTTCCTCATGGCCCCTCTGGGGGCCTTTCCCTTACATGCCTCCAAGTGAGAGCCCAACCCAGGCTTGTGCCGAGATATTCCCAGCACAGCCCCACGTGAGAGTTCCCTGGCTCCGGGCCCAGCATTAGGAATGCAGGCTCCAGCCAAATACATTCTTTTCTACAGGATCTGGGAACTTCCAGAGCTGCCTCACAGTGGGGAATTTCCACTCATTTCTCTTACCCCGGCACTGACCTCCCAGCTAGGGAGGGCATCTTTTCTTGACAGAGCAGAGGTGGGAGACAGCTACCACTTTCCAGAAGACTTCATTTTCTGATTCACACCCTTTCATCTTCCATGTGTTTACTGTCTGATATTTGCATTCAAGTCACTTTCCAGAGATGATGACTCCTCCCTGAAGTAGACGCATGCCTCCAACACTCAGAAGCCCATCCAAACAATCAGCCAGCAAAGCTGGGAAGTTTTTCTCTGTGACCATGGGTCAACTGATCTCCCTCTCTGAGTTATGGCTTAATCCGACAAAAAGAAGCAGTCATGCACAGGACCTCTATCCACGCATTGATTCTGGGATTCTATGAGTGATGGCGACGTGACTAAGCCAGGAGACACTTGTTTAAAGATCTCAGCATCTTTCAGCTTGTTAACCTAGAGAAAACCTGAAGCATGACTGGATATTAAAGGGAAACGGAATGCAGTCTACCAAGTTCATGGTAAAGGATGCACTGACAGATTAGAGAGGGGTTTCCCTTGATATGAGGGAAACTTCTCTGAAATAAGTAACGTGAGATGGTCTAGGAAGAAATTCCTACATGAAGTGGCACAGTCTCCAGTCCTGGAAACATTTTATTCATCGGATAAGAATGGATTGAGCCGTGAGCAGAGGACTGAGCAAACACAGAGAAGTTTCAACACTGATGGGGGAGAAAGGGGGTAACTAGAAAGATTCAGCAGGACGAGAATAAGACTCCTCGGGAGACACAAGCAAAGCAGAACTCAAGTTGACTTGTTCTCTCTTCATCCTGCCTTTGTGTAATTCCACCAGAGTCTGGAAAGCTCACCCCATAGAGTCGCTGCTCTGGGGCTCTCCAAGAAACCAATATCCATCATGAGACATCAAGTCTCGTGCCAGCAAGAAGAGATTCTGGAATCAGAACTTCCTGGGTGGGAATCTTAGCCACATCTACTATTCTGTCTGAATTTCTGGACAAATAGCTTCAGTTTTAACCTAACAAAAGCTGGGTTGGTCGGAGAACTAAGCAGGCAATGCTGGAAAGCATGTCAGCCCCATGCCTGACTCCCAAAATGCACTCAACAATGCCATTACTGACCACTTACTAGGAACAAAACAGCCATTTGTTGTATGCAACCCATTTCTTATTACAAATGTAGTGATTGATAGGTGTTTTCTTCTAAGAAACCCAATGCATTTATAGACATTGCCTCAGTGACCCTTTATGAAAGAAGAGTCACTAGTCCTTGCATGCCCATTGGGCAAGGGCACTGCAAGACTCCGAAGGAGGAGACAGTGGGCTGGGAGAATAGAGAGACCAGAATTTTAAACTCAGCTCAGCCATTAACATGCCTCAAGTAACCCTATCATATTTGTAAGAGAATAGAATTCACTGAAATGAATTCTAAGGTCTTTGGGTTTTTATTAGTATGATTTTGTGGTTTCTGAGGAAATCTAAGGCACAACCGAAAAATGAAGCCAGGCTTTCCAATTCCCGAAATACTCCTCCTCTGCTTATTCATGTCCCTTGGAAATCACGAAGGAAGCTGGGAGAAGAGCCGCCGTAATCAGGGATGCACTTCTTGCTCACTGCTGCTTGCTGTGCTAACCACAGGCTCCTAACTCATAATGACTTAAGCACAAGGAATGTTTATAGACGCTCCTTTAGCTGACTGCCCGTTTGGAAGATGATGAGGACAGAGAGAGGACTCAAGCAGGCAACTGGTTAAAGGACTTGTGCACATTCCCTTCCAGCAGTATAGCATAGAGGCGGCTGCACAGGCACTGGGGACAGGCTGCTTGGATTCTCTGCTTGAGGGGAACTTGAGCAGGTTATTCAACCCCTCTGTGCCTCAGTCACCTGATCTATAACATAGGAATTAGCAATCCCTACTAGATGAAGTTGGGAAATTTACAGATTTAATATTAGTAAAGGGCTGAGAATATTCCTGGCAGAGTAAGCACTCTGTATGATAGGGGCATTGCTTCTGCAACGCCACATGATGTCCGTGGCTTCGTCCAAGTCTGAAACCCTTGAACCCTTAGAATTCAGTTCAATATTTACACAATCCTATAGTTCTGCTAGGCTTCTATTGTGCCACTATCCTGCATTTGAATGAGCAAACGGATTTATTGCATTGCCAGCGAGCCCGCCAAGGTTTCAGAGGTCCTTCCCTGGCTGGCAGGCCTCTTGGACTGTGGCCTGAAGGTAAGCTGGCAGCGAGCCTGACATGCTTTCATCTAGTTTCCTCACTTCCTTCCTTTTCTGCAGAGTTTTCACTTCAGAGAAAGCGGAATCCTTAAGAATAACCCTCTTAGTTCACATCTGTGGTCAGCCTAGGCTTAATGGCATCCCATCCTCCTCATTTGGTCATTTGGTCTCAGCAGTGAATGGAAAAAGTGTTGTCCTGACCCACTGCTTCCCTTTTCTATTTCCTGGAAATCCCCAGCATGCTGCATTTGCTCAGCAAATTTAACAACCCACTTATTATTCATGGAAGATCCCTTCTCCTGCTCGACTCCGCCCTTTGTTTGCTTATAAAAGACGAGAGACAGCAGTCAGAGGGGCAGAGAGGCTGAGACCAACCCAGAAACATCCAGTTCTTACACTGAAGCTTGCATCCTCGCCTCCAGCATGAAGGTCTCTGCAGCACTTCTGTGCCTGCTGCTCATAGCAGCCACCTTCACCCCCCAGGGGCTCGCTCAGCCAGGTAAGGCCCCTCTCTGCTTCTCCTTGAAGCACTGTACTCTCTCTGAGTTATCATGGACCATCCAAGCAGACAGGGTACCCACAGTCTTGCTTTAATGCTGCTTTTCCAGAAAAGGTAACTCAGAAAAGGACCAGGGGTGAGCCCAATCATACAGTTGCTGCTAGGCAGAGCCTAAACTAGAATTCCAGCTGTGAAACCCAAATCCAGCTCCTTGCAGGCTTCCATCTCTGGGAATACCCTCAGCACAGTTACTCTCCCAGCTGCTTCCAGCAGAGTTTGGGGGTCAGCATGATCAAAGAGAGGGTGGGTGTGTGGGCTGTTTCCAGACACACTGGAGACCCAGAATCTGGTCTGTGCTTCATTCACCTCAGCTTCCAGAGACAGTGGCTCTGCAGAGGTAATGAATATCAGGGGATCTCATGACCAAGCATAGGCTATTCAGAGCTTAAAAGGCGACTCCTAGGGGGGTCTCCAGCTGATCTTTCCTGGTGCTGATCATCTGGATTATTGGTCCCTTTTAATGACACTTGTAGGAGTTACCTAGCTTTAACAGCTCCTCCTTCTCTCTGTCCTTTATCAATGTTGTATATCCATTTTACAGCATAGGAAACTGAGTCATTGTGTCAAAGATCACATTCTAGCACTGAGGTATAGGCAGAAGCACTGGGATTTAATGAGCTCTTCCTCTTCTCCTGCCTTCCTTTTGTTTTTTTCTCATGACTCTCCTGCTCTAAGATCAGAAGAATCCAGTTCATCCTAAAATGCTTTTTCTTTGTGGTTTATTTTCCAGATGCAATCAATGCCCCAGTCACCTGCTGCTATATCTTCACCAATAAGAGGATCTCACTGCAGAGGCTGGTGAGCTACAGAAGAATCACCAGCAGCAAGTGTCCCAAAGAAGCTGTGATGTGAGTTCAGCACACCAACATTCCCTGGCCCGAAATTCTTCCTCAGGGAGCAAGGGGCAAGCCTCATAAACCTAGAGTCAGAGAATGCACTATTTAACTTAATATACAAAGGTTCCCAATGGGAAAACTAAGTCACAAAGGAAAAAAGTGACCCCTGACATCACTCTCCACTGGGAGAATACCCCAATTTCTTTAGCTTGAAGTCAGGATGACTCCACCTGGCACCTATAAGAGCAGTTTGCCCTGGGTTCCCTCCTTCCACCTGCCTTCTCCTCTAGCTCCCATAGCAGCCTATTGGTACAGAATGGGTTGCACTCCTAGGCCACAACTGTACAGGAACTTCGTCTAACTGTGTCCTCCCTCCCCACAGCTTCAAGACCAAACTGGCCAAGGAGATCTGTGCTGACCCCAAGCAGAAGTGGGTTGAAGATTCCATTGACCACCTGGACAAGCAAATCCAAACTCCAAAGCCTTGAACACTCACTCCATAACCCCAAAATCTACAGCTAACTTATTTTTCCCTATCTTTCCCCAGATACTCTGTTTTATTTTATTATAATTTCAAAGGACATGAATTTTGTTTGTTAATATGAAACATTTTGCCTTAAGTAATGTTAATATTGTTTAAGTTATTGATGTTTTAAGTTTATCTTCCACGGTACTAATGTTTTTTATATAAAGAGACTCAGGCAAATTGCCTTTTCTCTGTGAACCGCAATTCTACCCCTGGGATGTTTTGAGGGTCTTTGCAAGAATCATCAATACAAAGACTTTTTGTTTTAACAATCCAGTGCATTGCTGAAATATTATTGTGGAAATGAATATTATATAATTATTACACAAAATAAATATATTTTTGTACAAAACCTGACTTCTAGTGTTTTCTTGAAGGAAATTACAAAGCTGAGAGTATGAGCTTGATGGTGACAAAGGAACATGATTTCAGAGGGTGGGGCTCACATTTTAAAGAAATGGGAACGTGGATTGCTCCCGGTCTTGTCCACTGGGTGGTCTCCTCTGAGCATCCATAAAAAAAATTATTATGGCAGGCCAGTTAGGTATTAAAGCACCACCCTTCCAGTCTCCATCAGCTTCCCAGATCCCAACGACTGGCCACCCATTCGGCAAGAACCCACCCCCATTCCTTTTCTCACAGCCCCTGACCCCTGCCTGCAATTCTTCCCATAACATATTGCAACTGACCCCTAACTGGGCTACCCACTCCCAGTCTGCACCTCTCTAATTAATCCCCCAACTGGGAGAAATACAGACACTGCCAGGAAATACGGACAGACTTAATCACCATTGATAAGATGATTAGATAAGTTGCATAGACATGATGAAGCTGAAACTTATTCTTTATGAATGAATAAAGCATTTCTAGAAAAATTACACGATCATTAAAGGAAGAAAAAGAAGAGTGGGAGCAAATACCTGGAGGTAGAAACAGTGATGATGTGTACATCAAGGAGGGGAAAAAAGCAATGCATCAGATGGGAATTCAGGCCCATATCAACGTCAAAGAATGAGAAGTTTAGAAAGGAAGGTTGAGTCAAGAGATTTGAAAGTTAGGGTGAAGAGTTAGTACTCAACTTTGTAGGCTAAAAGAAAATGATGAAAATCTTCAGTCCAATGAGGAGGGAAGTGCTACGTTTAGAGATTCAGAGATAAGTTTCAGGAAATGTAACTTACTGGTTTTATACATACCTAAAGAAATAGGGACTAGTGAGAAGCTATTGCTATGGTCCAAGCAATGAGGATAAGGGCCTGAATATGGAGCCGGAAAGGCAGCATTGGAGAAGAATGAGCGATGCAGGGTGAAATGCTGCATGTTGTAAACGGAGGAGAAAGACCTGTGACTTCAGATATGAAAACCTCATCTTCAATCCACATTTGAAGTGGCCAGCTTCCCTGAAACCAGAATGTGTTTCCCTCCATTATTAACCCCCCATCCCAGTCTCAGGAGCCTGGAATCATCCGTTTAAACAGATGGGCCTCCTATTCCTAAATATCCACCTAAAGTGTGTATTCCTTTGCAGGACATTTGTTCCACCTGTGAAACATCTGGCCTGTCTGGGCACCCAGACAACCCTAACATCCAGGAAAGCAGGTGTCTTGCTCTATTGAATAAACTGCATGGTTCTCAGCTTCCCAATCTGGTGGAGAAATGGCCGCTGTGTCAGGCTAGAGCAGGCAGTGCTTTTGGCAGCATGAGGAGCTGAGGACAACTTTGGCAAGAAGTACTCTCAGGTTTTCACCGCAGAGCCAGTACTGACTCACTTTGTCAGTCAGGACAGGTCAGGTATTCTGAGCCTTCATCAATAATATAGGGATGATGATGTGTTGCAAATAGAAACCCAGGAGAACTTAGGTTCCCTTCTGGATCTGGGAGCATGTCTCTTGGAAAACTTCCATTTCTACTAGCTAGAGTTGTAGAGGGAAAGAGGGGATTCTGCATCTACATTTCTGAGCCAGTCCAGGGTCCCTGAATCAGACTAAGGAATCCCTTCAAAGCTCCAAGTACTCTGATACATCAGTCAGCAGACAATTTATTGACAGCTGTTTAGAAAACTCACTGACCCTGGCTCCAGGTCAAACAGCCCTTCCTGCCTCTCCTCTACCCCTACAGTACTTGGCCTTGATCACCAATCAGGAGTGAAATATCAAATTGCAGTAGATGCCAAGAGACTAGAATGCAAACAAATGAGACCTCATCATATGGTTTCTGAGCAGCAGTCCTGTGATGCAAGGCAGATTTGAGGCAGACAGTCTGAGAGGAGAGGAGGCAGAGGAAGGGGGGATACATGTGGTCAAACCCCAAATCAATCTGCTTACATTCTTTTTGCAGGTCACATCTATTCATTTTCAAGAAATCTTGAATCCATATTCTTTTCTAGCTAAGCATGGAATTCCTTGCTCCTTACATGATGAAACTGAGCACAGGCATCAGTAGCCTTGAGATCCTGTTTTAGGAGAGCATGCCAAGTGCAATGCATTCATTTCCTGTTGCTGTCAACAGTCAGTTCCAGGAAATCTAGGCTTTTTCTTTTCTTTCTTTTTTTTTTAGGCTAGCCAAGTGAAGCAGTGGTAGGCTTTTTCTAGACATGTTCAAAATTCTTCCAGCCTCTGCTCATTGTTCAGATCCAAAGCCACTTCCACATCTGTAGGTGTTCCTTACAGAAGCACCCTATTTCCAGGTACCAAAATCTGTATTAGATTCTTAATGTTACTGTAACAAATTACCATAAGCTTAATTGCTTAAAACAACAAAAATGCATTGGCTTGTGGTTCTGGAGGTCAGAAGTCTATAATGGGTCCCTAGGGCTATATTCATTCCCTCTGGAGGCTCCAGGGGAGAATCCATTTTCTTGCCTTTTGCAATTGTTAGAGGCTACCTGAACTCCATGCCTCGTGGTCTCTTCCTGTAGCTTCAAAACCTCTCTCTCTCTCCTTTGCTTTCACAGTCGTATCTTGTCTCTGACTCTGACCTTCCTGCCTTCATCTTAAAAGGTGATTATATGATAATCATGCTGAGCCCATCTTGATAATCCAGGATAACATCTTCATCTCAAGATTCTTTTTTTTTTTTTTTTTT